CGTACTACTACGACGACGACGTAGTACGCTAACACACACACACACACACACACACACACACACACACACACACACACACACACACACACACACACACACACACACACACACACACACACACACACACACACACACACACACACAATTGCTCCAAGAAATGTTTTGGAAATGCTAGAAACTACTGAATATGTCCTCTAGTAAATATTCCCTCCAACTGTTTTTAGTCCAACTCGCTTTGTGCTGCAGGTTGTACTTGGCATTGGCCCTTGACAAATAAGCGTTGTTTTGTCCCACTGCCGTCTACAAATAATAATTCTCCATCACATACACAGCTAGATATGCGGTGTATGTGATGGAGATGGGACCAACAGTAGAAGGATGAGATGTGTTTGGAAATGACCTGTTTTGAAAGGAAGGGTGACTACACTGAACAATTATATTTGCTTTTCCTTTTGGAAACAGCATAGTTTGACAGATGGAAGGTGACTTTGAAAACAATGACACTTCGCCTTCTTAAAAAATTATCTAGGAAGTGAATGTGCTTTATGTAACACATTTTAATCATATTTATTTTTGCAGCATGATGGCAAACAAACACACAAACACAAGTATTGTCATTTAAATAGTATATTACGATCTCATCTGCATTCCAAATACTATAAAAATAAGTCCTACTCATTGTGTATATGCTGTCTGCAGTGTTATAAGATGGCAGCTTCATGCACATTATGCAAATCTCTTCAGTGGGTGGGTAGCTGGCATTGCCAACCAAACCAAGCAGATGTAGGGTGAATACATGGTCTACTCTACAGCCTTGATTGACTTTGTTTTTGATGGGGAAGAGAAACAGATTGTACCAGGCCTTACCTAAGGTTAAGGAGCTCTTTACTTTCAGTTAAAAATTCTAAGACTGTTCGGAACTAACTTTCAAATTGTACAAAATCATTTTCTGTGAGAAGTTTATTACTGTTTATTTTTCTAGTTTGCGTCTCCTTAGCACATCAGCCATTAAAGACCAGTTATTATCAGTAGATTATTACATGGCTTTGTTGAATACTCGATTCTGATTGGCCAATTCAGAACACGTGACACGTTGTTAAATACCGAACAGACAGACCGCTGTCAAGGACTTATTGACCGTTGTTAAGGACGCTCACATCTGCAGAAAGAAGTCCGTTCGATTTAACTGTATCGGTTTAACTGAAAAGCAAACTGGGACAAGAAAGCAGCGGTCCAGACATAGACATCAAACGGTGACACATATTCAGTGTGCAGTTACTTTGGCATTAGGGCAGGGA